AGCTAGCTATTGCATTTTTGGGGGGGACATCCCGTATGTTTTAGTTTGATATACACAATATAGTCAGATCAAAGAAAGACTGCATTACTGCATGTAAAGCAAATTAAATTTTTCCACAAAATTTTTCATTAGAACAGGATGTCAATTTCGCTGTCATATTTGCATTTTCAATGTTCCTTCAGCAGTTAATTACCAGTTCTTTATCTGCACGATCTTTATCAACTGCATGTATATCAGATAAAGATCGGATGCCGAATGTTTTAACGTGCTTAAAAAACGTCTCATCTTATGAGTTCATTGGCGAAGTAATTTCAAAAATAAACATTTCTAAGCTGAGAAAATCAAAGCTGAAGTTTATGTAAATCAGGACAAATCTTTATCCGATTTACAAACATTGATTAAAATTTCTTTTGAATTGTTAATGAGTATTTTAATTTAATTATAGATACTGTTGTAAACAGCGACTACAAGATAAGCCTATACAAGGCGTCACCCTGGATCTCAACACAGATTCAATCATAGTATCGAAGCGAATACAATAACTATCACCCCACTCAGGAGTAATTGCATTCATACTTAATTTTATGAATTTTTTATCACTGTACATTCGTCCGGAGACGAATATGCCCATAATATATATAGACGTGATTCGTAAATGTGAAATAAACCAGGGTGAATTCATGTAGATAAACTCCGAGGAGTGACTTTAGACTCAGTGTTGTGCCCTTTAAGCTTGATAAACTTTGGTAGGACATCCATGCAGACATGTGATGCACTGCACAAACCACGACAACTTCGTGTAAAAAACTACCTACACTGGATCAGCACGTTTGAGATATCGTTTTCAGGTATAGTTCAGACATAAACCCGGAACGTGGAAAGACGAAACGCGGAATGCTGGAACAGAAAACCCTGAAGGAACAGCGTGTACTGGACCAAGTATCGTGTCCAAACTTTCGTGGGGAGCGCCAAATATAGGCGTAATCACGACTTTAAGTCAGCGATTTGTTGCGATTTTAGGTGCTGAACTATTCAAGTAATCGTATCTGCATGTATACGGGCAAAGACTGCTGATGGATGACATTTAGTAATAGGCATGTATAGACGCGTGTACACACTTCAATAGAGAAGCGATTAATTGAATTAAAGTAATTCACAATATATATATATATATATATATATATATATATATTTATATAGCTAATTCAATAAAGGTTGTCCTTTGAAAACCTTAAACTCTAAAACCTTAAACCTTAAACTCTAAGCGCGCAAAGCATTATGGGAGTACGATTTAAACAGTTTAGAAAGCATATATGGAGCCCATTTCTTAGAGACATGGTAAATGTCTCCCTGCGAAAACATTTCACACACAAATAGCTGCAATATTCAACTATTATATATCATATGTAACTGAAAATGATCAGAAATAAAAGCATACAAAAACCTTTCACTCTGGTTAGCAACTGCATACATTTTAATATTTATTGAACAAATCTCTCTCTCTGTTACATGTTGCAGACATTTAGAAATCTTTTTCAGGTAGTTCAGACACACAACTACAGAAGCATATTGTAAAATAGTATACCTATACTGGCCACCACGTTTGACATATCTAGTTTCAGGTAGTTCAGACACAAACCACGACAGCTTATTGTAGAATACTACGTACCACACGTACTGGCCCACCCCGTTTGCGATAGATACGATCCACAGCCCTCAGTATAGCTAATACTTCTAGAATTCGTCTAACGAAGCTGAATATAAAGTATGATATAATTAC